ATAAAAAATGGTGTTCACACCAACACATTTCTTTCATTTAAACATAAAACGAATATTATTAAAAAGCAAACATTAAAACAAGGGCTTTCATAAACATGATTCCAGTCAGTATTAGAACCTAAGTAATGACTGTGAAACAACCTTAAAACTGTAAAAATCTCAAATGCAACCATCCGTTTTTTGATTGATCCATAAACAAAACATCTTTTAAAAATAATTTTTATTGTACTTTCAAATCAGTTATTCTTTCTGAATTATAAAAACTATGATCAAACGATATAAATGTTTTGGCGTGAAGCCTACTTAAGACACAAAAACAATATTTAAACAAAGATATATGTTGGTGTGAACATTACTTAGACATGAGCTGGATTTGGATAACGTAAGAGTTATATATTGAAAAAAGATGTAAAAACATAGGGATGCCATAGTATATTCAAAAACCGGGCACAGTTATATATGTAGATATACTATACATGAGAGTTAGATAACATGTATTTTAGTATCAATAATAATGTATGTATACTAATAATTTAATATTAATTAATACTACGTTTAATAATTTTAATCTCTTTGACATTTTTTGATACAAAAGCTTCATAGTGAGTCACATAATTTTTTATGTATTTAATTGTATATTTATTTAAATTATTTTAATACTTTTTCTAATCATCTTAACGTGTGCAATTTATAAATACTGTGTATATATAAGTTCAAATAGATGTTTATTAGACTTGGTTTTCTGATGTTGAAATATTCATTATAAAAGCTTGTTCTATAAATTATAAAGATGTTTGTTATATTTTTTAAATAAATGTATTATTTCACGAAAAAATCCCAAATGGACCGAATTATGTAAAAAAAACTTAAAAATTGTACGGTATGTCATATATATCACGAGTTACTCATATGAGGATAGCGTTTTTTTATTACTTTTTCCACCTGATCTGATAAAAGTTATCATTACTAGTGGAAATAATTTATTGCATCCTTAAGTTATCAAGTTACCTTGGTTTAGAATAATGAAGTTTAATACGACCTTCTATCGCCTAGATGCTTCCGTTATCTTAATATACATATAAGTACAGTACGATATCTATATATATATACACTTCTGTATATATCTACACATTATTAGTTATCTTTTTTTGCTAAAAATACATTTTTAGAATTTTGATATCTTTTTTTATTTTCTTATAGAGTAATCTTTAAATCAAGTATGTCTGATCTATGCAAAAAATGTTTAAGAAATAAAAATTGTTTTAAATGAAAATAATTATAAATAAAACTTTTAAGTTCAGAGATACTTCACTTAAAAAAATCTAATAAAAATTAAAATTTATTTGTTTCAAAAAGCATTAATCTTTTATTCATTCATTGACTTTTGGTGCTTCATCGGCTTTTTTTGAAAGGCTTTCTTTGCAGACTCTTTCATTGAGAAACTTATACAAAAATTATATATTTTTTATAATTTTTTTTAAAATTTCTTAATAAAAAGTCTAAATATATATTCACAAAAAAATTGATAATTTTGTCTTCATGTTTATTCCTCAAAACAGTCTTTAAATCTACTCTTTTGATTATTTTTTGTTTATTGTCAAAATATCAAAATGTATTCTTATCACTGCCTAAAGTATTCTATATACTGCCTGTGTATTTTTCCGAGATTATTTTATCAGTTTTATTATCGTGATTACTAGAAGATTTTTTATTTCGGTCACAAGTTAATTAAGCGTCTTCTTTTCAATTCGAATAAAAAGGGGGCAAAATTCACACAATTGAGAAATTAATAAAAATTGTAAAAAAAATTTTTTTTTCTAAAGCAATAAATTATAATTTAGTTAACTTTTTTCTCAAATATTTATTATATGAATATAAATAGGAAGAAAATATAAATTTATTTTATTTTTATTCTTTGTATATGGAATACTCATTCATCTGTAGAAGTTTTAAGCAGATTGATGATAAGTGATAAATACCAGTGGCAAGAATCCTAAACATTGAATGTAATACTCGTATCATACCTCGTCTTTAATGGATAGTATAATGAAATGTAGAATAAAGTACCAGAATACCTTCATGTACTTTTAGTAAAATGGACTACTACACATGCAGTATTGCAGATAGAATTAAATAGATCATAACCTTAAATCTAAGTTGTTTTAATTATTTACTTGATTTTTGAAGCCTATAATACTAGAACTTTTAGTATGTCTCATAAAGTGAATTATATCTCTCATTTTTGTAATGATAAATTATATCAAAATTTCTAAAAGCGAAGATGGTACATACTAAGATAACGATTAACTGAAAACAGTGTTTTAATTTTTAATTACAATTATTATACTTATTTAAAATTTACTTGCTTGCTTAATTGACTCTTACGAGCGTATATCGATTGTGGTCGTGTTTAAAATCCTCGTCTCGTCGCCTCTATATTTGGCGCAGTGATGCCATTCTGAAATATGGAAAGCAGACTGATATCTGTACTTGATCATTCTACGATAAAGGTAGGCTATTACCTTTCATTTGGGATCCAGAACATAGACACAAATAATGAAAAATCAGGAGGCTTGGCTTGCCTTGATGTGTCCCTGAATGTATCTCTAGTGGTATTGTTCTATGTTCTCTTGGAGTTGATTAGAAGTAGTACTTATTTCTATTTTTTTCGCTAGCTAATAACAAGTATAAGACACTTACATAGTGTATAACTAATAATAACTGAAAGACACCTAATGTAAAACTTTCTGTTTAATTCTATATAATACGGCCAATTACTGAGAACTTATTAAAAAGGACATATTGAATATTGTATGGCTTTCTGCAGTTCGTATACAGGAATGTAAATGCAGGTCATCGGAATATAACTCTTTTTATATATTGCGAAGATTTTGGATACGTATAGGACATAAAAAAAAAAATAAGAATTTCCGCAGCTTTGTGTTTCAGAAGAAACAGGTTCTTGAGGAAGTACTTCTTTGTCGGTAAATTTAAAGGATCTGCTAAATTTTTAAAGTTGATGTTGTTATTGCTATTAATGCTGATTCCATGCTAGACAAATTTCTTTGCAATTCTAATAATAATAATTAAAGTTATCATCAGTGACGTAGGATCCAGAACGTTAAGATGGTGTATTTCACGATAAAAGGCGCTAAAAGGCAATACAATACAGAAAAATGTTTACCGAAATTTTTGTCAAAATTGACTTTAATTACATTGAATGCTTTTTGTTGTGATTAAAATATCTAAATAATAAAAAAACTTTCCATGGTTATAATTAATTAGTGGACACTTTATTCTTTATTCTAATCAGTAGAGTTATATTTGGGCTCTTATATCTATAGTTTAATAAATCAAATTACAAATTAATGGATTCGAAACCTCTCCTCTCTGAAATGAGAAAATATTGCTCTTATATTATACTTTACTGTTTACAACTTCAACAACATTATGTCTGATCTGACTTATATCTCTGATACTAAAATTAATAACATAATAGTCATAAAGCTAGCTAAGCTCTTCAACTTTATTTTAACTATTTAAACACGAAATAAAAAATAATCAAAGACAGCTTTCCTGTTTCTTATTAAATTAATTTTTTTTTTTAATCTATTAAGCAATTTTACGTTGGTAGATTATGGACTTTACTAGTACAATTTGTAGATAAATACTCCAATTAAGTAATTTAAATTGAAGTTAAAGAGAAAACATGTAAATTATTTCAAATGTGTGGAATGAAATCTTCAATGTCTGAACTAAGGCAAAATTGTCATAGGCCTTATTATGATTGAAATGCCCTTTCGTACTCAGTGCTTGCATATGTAATCTTTAATAAGCAATTAGCAAACACTTCCTTATTAGAAAAAAAGAAACTAAACTCAGTCAGTAATTATTAGTTTTAATGGCGTTTTATTAGAAGTTATTTTAAAGTTGAAAAATATGTAAAAAATTATAAAAAAATCATATGTTATATTTTTGTTTAAGTGTAGTTTATTAGTAATTAAGATTCCATCACAGTAATACACTATTACTACTAACCTTCAGTTATGAAATGGGTTCAAAATTATTTTTTTAAATAACTAATAATATATATTTTTTAACGATTGTATATTACCTACATAAATATTAACCTTAATTTCAAAATATCGCTCTGGTTAGATGCCATATTTTAAATCACTAAATCTAGATTAGTGACAAAATTTAGTATTTTTCTTATATATATCAGAATTACTTATTATATTTTCTAATATTGAAGTTTCAGAAAATTAAATGGGTTTTATACCGGAATCTCCGATGTTTTAATATAATTAAACAGAAGCAAAAACCGAATCATTGCCATTATATAAACATTGTCTGAAACATCTTTTCTGAAAGCTATATAAACCGATTTTTAAATGAACAAGTAGTTCAGAGTATTAACCAAGATACTCTGAATCAAGATGATAGGTACATTTAAAGCAGCGGTTGCCAATCGGTGGTCCACGGACCACTAGTAGTCCTTGAGATTGTTTAAAATGATCAGTGAATTAAACTGAACAGATATAGATACATAGCTTGTAGTTTGTCCACTGCGACCTCATTTATTAGAAAATACACAAAAAATTTCCAACTAATTATAAACCTACTTTATAGCCTATATAATGTACCTATATCCATAAAGCATATGCATAAAGATGCATAAAGCATATTTAAATAATCATACAATTTATTATTCTTAAATTTCGTGGTCCGTACTAAAAACAAAAATATTATAGTGGTCTTTGGTAAAAAAAAAGGTTGAGAACTTTAGATTTTCTTAAATTATGTATATCTGTACAAAAATTTTAAATGAATGGTATTGATTCTTTAGATCTAAACTTTAATTTAATTAATATAATGAGGTAATATAACAAAATTACAAATATTTGGAATCGAAATACTTGAAAAATAATACTTCATAATTTCAGACTTATTCTTATTTAAAATATTTTTCAAAATGATATATATTAAAACCACAGAAATTACATTTACTTCAAATTTTATTTCCACAAAATATATCCACAAAAATTTAGACAAGCAATACTTAGTATTCTTGCAAACATAATGTTCAGCTTGAGAAATCAATATGTTCTAAAATCAATGTTTTAAAACAAACACAATAAATTTGAATGGTAAAGGTTCGTCCATTTTCATAAAACAAACTTCAAGGTTTAATTATAGAGAATTTTACTTGGGTCTTCAACTTTGGAATTGTACAGAGTTTAGCATCAGGTCACTTGGAATGGTTGTGGAAATTGAAATTCTACTGCTTCTATAGTCCATCTACAAGCAGTGAAAGTACTCCGCTTCTAGTTCATAACGAACATCTACGAAAAAATTTAAATAAATAAATTTTAACTAGAAATACAATAAAATATACCTTTAAGTTAATAATTGTGTTTCTACAAGCAGGAATCTTTCATCAGGAGACATAAGTTGAAGAGGGTTTCACGTACTCCGTAGTCCATTTCCAAAGTTTCTTCAGCATAAACTGCAATTTTACTTCTGCACGATTTCGGTCATCTAATTATGAAGGCATACAGATTATCACATCATTATTATATTATCATCATATACTACCTATTATTCCATCACCCGCAGAAATTGTAGTAAGAGTCCAAAGTGAAGTTTTCACCAAGTACGTATAATTTAGAGGGAGATACCGATTGATGTTAAAGTAGTCAAGTAGCCTTTTTTAAAAATCAAATATCGACATATAATTCAAAGACTTTGAGAATCAGTTATCCAAACAATGTCACATCAGGGTAATAAAAATAAGATTATATTTTATAATCCTAGAAGCAATTGTCAAAAAAAAATATTTTTTAAAAAAAATTATTTTTAAAATAATTTAAAAATTTCAAAATGGATCAATTGGTGGAAGAATGTTATGAAGACGCGTACTTACCATTAGCTCCAATAGCGTCCAATGCTATTTAACTGAAAAGAGAAACAAATAACGAAGTAAATTAATTAGTACCAGAAGTTAAAAAGGTTAAAGAACTTACCATGGAGCAATTATCATATCATTAAAAGTTCTTGAGTGATCCTATTCCAATCACTCGTTTATACCATATATCCATATACCTAATATCGTTGTAATATAGATTTTTCATGTACTTAAATTGATCAGTAGTTGCGCGACTTATCATTAAGTAATAGAATGTACTATATTATTTAAAACCGTCGATTAATACGACATTTCAAGTATTTTAATAAAAGAAAGTTCTTCTCCAGAGACTTTCTTCTATTTCAAGTAGTAGTTCTTCTTATGTTTCTACATTTTTAGTTTCAGAATCTAATTTTTTTTTTTATAATTTTGAGTAACTTATTCCAAAAGAAATTTATTTTAACTGAAATATATTGTATTTGGATTTGCCTTAACTATTCATATATTTTACACTACTAACTAGATTGAAAATATTCAGTAATTTCATGATGGATGAGTCAGTTCAGTATGAGAACTTTTATATTAGAACCATGTTATGTAGAGTGTCATGGGTTGATCAAAATTGGCTCTTTTGATCTATAACGAAAATGCATGTTATGCAGAGTGTCAGAGAGATTGTAATAATATAAAGACACAAATGTTGACATTTATTACTGAATAGCACTGCTTTGCCTAAGTGACGAGACACAGATAGCCTCGGCTCTCATGACCAAACTTGAACAGACATATTATTTTTTTCTCTCACTCTCAATTTTGATTTTCACGAGCCCATGACATAACATGGTCATATGAGAATATTTATGTTTGTTCTAATTTTGTGTTTAGAGATTTTTAATATGGTATTTGAAACTCTACTTGGTAGTGAAGAGAAGTAGAACTAATTTTACGTATGACATTCGAAAATCATAGTCAAATTCCACTGAAGTCACAGCTTAAGATTGGGTTTACGATTGTTAACGGACATTTGCTTAACCTTAAGCCAGTGAAATGTGTACCAAATAGCAAATAGAGAGAACATGCTATCGCTTTTGACCATCTCGAAATCATTTCAGAAATTCTTAATTGCCAATGACCTTTGAAAAAAGCTGTTAGATATTACAACTTTATGCTTTTCAATAAAGCATGACATCTGTGTGGTATTAACTCACTTATACTACAGTAGTGACTATACGTACATGGCACAGTCTTCGCCAGAAGACTATATTAGTCGTCGCCGTAAATATGTACTTAGCTAAGAATAATGATAAATTTGTAATATGAATGAATATAAATGTCTGAATAAAAAACTAACTATTTTAACTATACTACTCTAATAGTACCTCATTATTTGTAGTAGAATCGGATAGTTGATCATAAAATAGAGGATATCCTTTTTTTCTATATTTTTCAAGATTTTTATTTTATAATACATATGGTTTGAAATAGGTTCGAAATTTTTAATCTCAAAGATGGACATTTTGGATTTAAAAAAAACAATGCACTTTATCAGTTCTATTTGATAAAACCGTACTCTTACAAAAAGTAAAAGTAATCTCAAAAGGTAATTTAAGGTTGCTAACGGGTTTAATTACGGGTCATTATGGTCTGAAATATCACCTATATTAACTTTGATTATCTGCTAATTCTGTATTTAGATTATACTCGAAGATAAGGAAACAACTTTACATATTCTTTGTGATTGTCCAGCTTTAACAACGCACAAAATAGACTTATTCTATATGGAATTTCTGTCACCAGAACAGATTAAGAGCTCTTCTCCAGATTTAGTTCTGGATTTTGTTTACAAAGCTATAAAGGGCTTTGTGTAATTAAAAGTGGAATTTGGTACGAAAGGACTCTTCTAGTACAAGCTGTTTAATGGGTAGTGAATTGATTATGTCACAAATTTATAGTACTAAGGAATTTCTAATCACCTTTGTTGAGAAAATACGAATTTATTTACCTAATAAGCCAATATTTACAAAAATTCATGACTCTTTTTTTATGGATTATTGATGAATAATCTTGGATGTAACGATTTAAGACTTACTTCGATCCCTGAGACTTGATTTAAATTTGATCAATTCAAATTTACTTTGTTAAATTAAATATTTCAAAAATTTTTGCCTAAGGAATAATGAACTAAATTCTATTTTAAATTAAAAATTAAATTCTAAATTCAAAATTTTAAATACTGAACTATTTATTAAAAACGTAACATTTTTAAGTGCTTATACAAACTGTTTATATATCTTTAATGTTAAATTTTTATGTCGAAAATGTCGCGTCTTATGACAAAAAGAAATTATTTAAAAGTTAAAAGGGTTCGAATAGAAATGAAAAGACAACAACAAAAAATTTTAGTTAATTTATTGAAGTTTGGCTGACCATACAACGCTGTCTTGAATATTGCCCAGTACTCATCATCATTAATATTTCTTTCAATAATTCAATTAAATAATATTTTTTAATACTTTTGAATATTTTGAATATATTTAATTTTTAGATCTTTAAATCTTTTATCTATCCATAATAAAATATTTACGAAGCCATTTGCACTTTTATTTAAAATATAATAAAAATTTTTATTACCTACATTACTTACTTTTATATATATATGAACTAAGTACGGTTAATAAATATTTTATACATACATCAAAATATATTAATATATTACTTTTTTGCGACTTGAGATAGTTTTAACTATATAAATTGGTAAACTATCTTTTATTTTAACTCACGAGTGTTATTTGAAGGCATTAATAGTAGTCGTTACTAAATTATTTATTATCTTAAAGCAAAATCGAGTTAAAAAACCTGAACCTGAACCACAGTTAATGTAAATGTAAATGTTTAGATTTTCACTTTCTATCATGAAACGAGAGAGAGAAGTTACGCCTGTTATAAAATTAAGGTTACGCCTGAGGTCAGGGTTAAGTAAAAAATTTAATCGATAAAGTTTTTGATATTTTCGCTGCCGGTTTAGTATCTGCACATTTACATGAAAGTATCTGTTAAAATGATTTGTGTGTTTCATTTGAATTTTCAAATAATCTTTGTGACCGTGACGCCTAATGGTCTAGCGATGAAATGACTTTAACCCAGAAATAGTAAACAAACAGAGGAGACATGTCTGCTGCGCCCGGTGCGTTGCATCTAAAATTGGATGAGTTGACATACCAATGAGATACCAAATATACGCAGTGGAGACGATTTGTATTGCTATATATGATAAGTTGTTATTTTTTTTTTGTGTTGGAGAAGTCACCGGAATTGTGCCAGTCCAACAAGTTTGTTTTTGAAATGTTCATGTGCAGCCAAAAGCCAAATGCTTTCCAATTGCCGCAAATCGCGGACAGACAAATCAAGTTTTGGGTTCAGTTTAGTGAAATTTTTTCTCACGTGCCTCTCGTGATAATAAACCGAAAAGTGAAAGATTTGCCAATTTTTATTTACGTCGCCACAAACTAAAATTGTGGCGGGATTGGACGGGAATTTAGTGAATTGCCGTCCATCAATACAACCTGCGAACACGACCGAAAACTGCAAAACGACAATTGCATTTTGCGGGTGCATTAACCTGGCAATTTGCTAGGCGGCAGTGATGCTTTGCAGCATCTGTCGAATTTCTCAAAATCGCGTCTGTGGGCAGTAGTAAAACAAATAATTTAGTACCGTGCTTTTATATTTAATGATCATTATGATGTAAGTAAATTAAGTCTTTAAAGTTTTTGTTATTTTCAACTATTTTTGTTGGTTTCAATTTTAATTACTATATAACTTAAAAGCGAGTATCTATATATTTTATTTCCTTATTACTTACTTGATTATTGTTAATAAAGCAAAAAAAAGTTAATGATTCTGCAGAAAGCAGTTTTTTGACAGATAACGATTGGTGGCTTTGAAGCGACAGTAATAAGAAAACAATTAAAATTATATATTAATATAACTATAACATAAATAATGCAGTAATATATTGTTATAGTTCGATATTATCTAACTTTAATATTAAAAAATTTTCTTTTCGGAGTATATCACGATGGGTATTTAATGTATATACATTAAGACTGAAAAGTTTTCGGAAATTCTCATTTAAAATTCGCGCGCTGTATATTTTTCGATATTTTAAGTTTATGTAGTTTGGCAGCACTGTCCTTAATTACTATGCCAAAAATGAGCGCGATCTGTCAGACAGTTCGTTTACGGCAGCTGTTGAAACCAGTTCCCCTCAGTAGTGCGTTGCGAAATGTCTTCGACGGTCGTACGACCGTCCTGAAAGGCTTTGTACCACTCATAAACTTGAGTTTTCGATAAAACTGATTCCCCATAAGCCTTTTGTAGCATTCGCAACGATTCTGCACACGAAATTTCGTTCGAAACACAAAATTTGATGCAAACTCTTTGTCCAATATTTTTTTCCATTGTTTTTTTCGCAACGCACTACTGAGGTGAACTGGTTTCAACAGCTGCCGTAAACGAACTGTCTGACAGATCGCTCTCATTTTTTGCATAGTAATTGTCCTTAATTGCTGCCAAACTACATAAACTTAAAATATCGAAAAATATACAGCGCGCGAATTTTAAATGAGAATTTCCGAAAACTTTTCGGTCTTAATGTATACTCGTATAAGTTTCTTAAACTCCTAATACGATCTAATACAACTTTTCTGCATATATGATACTTCTATGTCCGTTGGTCTTCTCCAGCTATCCATGGGGTTCCACGCGATCACTATTCTCGTGGTGTCACTGATTGGTCTGCATAGAGTATGGTCTATCCAGTCTCACTTGCGTTTTATTATCTTAATCTTGATTGGTGTTGATTAGTGATGGACCACACACTTTCATTCGATAGCGCTTTTGGTCACAAAACTTTAATGATTGCTACTATATTAAAACATCATCATATTAGTGTAAATAAAAAATTATTTAGAAACTAATTTTTTAAAAAACCGTTTCAAAAACATAATAATTAAAGAGTTTTTAAGAAACAAGAATTTTATAAAGTAGGTAGGTAGGTGGATTCAATTAAGAATCCGTACTGCAAGATCAGCCAAGCCAAGCACAACTCCTAATGGTGCGACTAATCATTTAAAGTTATTGCCCCGTCCTTAATGTTTACTACGTTCGAGTTTGGACCTACAACCCATCATATGAAAACCACAATATGAACTAATTTCTCCTATCAGTAAATTAAACATAGAAGAAAAATAAGAAAAATAAGAAAAATTCACTCAATCTAGCAGTCTGCATATCTGGTGCCCAATTCACTTTCCACTAAAATTGAATCAACTCTAGTCTTAAACAACCGATCAAAGAACTTGTATGAAATGACAATATTCTGAAAGTCTTAAAAATAGACAGTCATTCCAAATCATATCTAATTTAAGTAAAGGTTCGTCCAA